AACCCTATCTTTTTTTTCTAGACTTTTAATCTTAGTTCCAAGTACACAATATTGTTCTTGCATGGTGTCTCTAGGTCTCTCCGGCCTCATTTTACAGATATAAACTATAGAATTTTTGTATAAGCAAATATTATCGTCATGTGACAGCTCTACATGCCAAAATATTTAATTTTTTTTCGTTTTTTATATAAAGTCGAGCAGACGGACTTTTATTTTTGTGCGAACTTTAATCGTGTACAAGAAATTTGCAATTCTGTAAAGCCAATTAAAAGATATCCCTATAATTAAAAAATGTCGGTAAAACAGAGAGACTCCAGCATCACCTTAATTTAAAGAAAGTAAATTAATTATTATAATTAAAAGAAAATAATGCTCGTTCTAATGCAAATTAGAGGGGGAGAAGGGTCGAACTGTACGAGCGCTAAGAAGCTGTGAATATTATTTTATTGTTTAGTCTAATAAAATAATTGCAGAAGGTGCGTTAATCTTCTCAGGCATGTGATCAGCGCATGGTTACACCGTACTTCGTCGCGATGCCGCCGGTTAGATGTCGACACGCGACTATCACTGCTCTCCTCTTCCTCGCCGTGGCGGCTGCGGCGACGACGATACCTGGAAATAACCTCGCGTCGCCCCATGCGAGGCAGCTCCGTGTGTTCCGGTGTGCTATGCGATCGCCAGGTTACAACTATTTATAAAACCAGCTCGCGACCGGCGTATGCCCCTTAAGATGATAGAGCGAACTTCCCCGCGGCCACTTGGACCCGCACCGTTCCGTCTTTCTGGGATTAATTGAGAGGAGCCACGGGAATCGCCTCTGATGGAGCGGTCCCGTTTGTGAGACTTCCAGCTGCCGACCCGTCACGCTAAACATGGTAAATTTAACGCGAGGGCAACGTTTCTCTCACGCGGAAATCGCGCGTGCCAGTTACGATAGCTTGAAATTCGTCTTACTTCATCCAACGTATTTTTTAGACTCTCATCCTTCTTTTTCCCTTGTTACATCGTGTACCTAGTCTTGTGTTTTTAACGGCACTTCTTTTAGGCCGTCCTAGGACCACAACTTGTCATCACCCTCGTGGTGGTCAGCGTCATACAAAAGCTGAGTCCGCATTTCTCCTTCGCGAGATGGATCCTGTGTTCCACGGGGTACGTACTTGCACGAGTGATTATAGAAAAAAGCATAGATAGCGCTTGAACGACAAGATGGTCCGTCATCTCTGATTTCTTTTTGTCCGCACAGGTTGACGCGGTATCTGTATCCCACAGATCAGCAGCTTAGAGCATTAGCCGGCGTACCGAGGGAGAAACCAAAGAGGGGGAGGTACAGCGAGAACGGCAAAGTAGATGTGTTTCACGTCCCGAGAAATCTGGATATCACGCTTGAAAGTGCGAAAATAACTACCCTCGACGTGGTGCACTTGAAATACTACACCGAGTATCAGTGGCTATTGGACTTCTCTGTATACGCCATCGTTGTTTATGTAATGACTGAGGTCAGTGCTTTTTAATCGCTGCTCTGGCAATCGCGAGTACTTGTTTTTACGAATGAAAATGCCTACCTTCCTCAATCGCGGTATTTTAACTAATGTTAATGTGTGTAGTTAATTATACTGTCTAAAATCTCTCCTTTTCCACTTAACAGGCGTACAATTATCTGTATCCAATCAAAGACGAGATTAATCTCAGTATATTGTGGTGCGTGGTGGTTTTGGGCTTTGCATTGTATCCTTTGGATTCTTCAAAAGAATCTGTAAAGCTTCTTGTCTTCCGAGGGCTGACTGACAATCATGTTGCGATGACTTTCCTTACAGAATTTATAGTAAAGTACTACTTTCCCTTTGGGTACAGTATTTCAAAGGCGAAGAAAGCGATGGTGAAAGATCTACGTGCATTGTCACTGGATTTGCGTATCTTCTTATTGCCATGATGGTACTCATAGTTGATGAAAATAAATTGGAAATTGGGTTGGAGAAGGCGTACACAAGTTTTAATCACAGTGCTTCCCGGTTTTTAGACACTCAAGGGCTTTCTTCGACGTAAGTCGATTACGTTGTTTTTCATCTTTTTTGAATGTTTTAATAAGTAAATCCTAAGTCTGCTGCATGTTTCATTGATTGCTTGTACATTTTTGGCAAAATAATATTTCAATGATGGAACTTTATCATTTATTAAGTAAAAATACATTTTACTCTTAACAGTTTTATCTAATTACATTTTAAATAAAAATTTAGTGTACAAGTTCTCTAGTCTCTCAATTTAAATACTGAAGATTTAAAGATCGAAGATATTTCTTATTGTGAATTATTTGTGATGCCTTGTTATGACAATATTATTAATAAATGTATTTCATATAGGGGACCAGCCTCGAAAATTGTCTTAAAGTTTTTCCTTGCTATATGGTGCGGTTTATTGGGATCTTTGTTTACCTTCCCAGGATTGAGGGTATCAAAAATGCACTGGGATACGTTGAGGTATGATGCACTTCATTAATTTGGACTTATTTTATCGAAATATAGAGTGCCGATTAAAATATATAAGAAAATAATTGCAGGTATTATAAAGATCACAAGTTATTGTTGCTAATAGCAAATATTAGCTATGCATCGCCGCTTATATTAGTGAGCCTATGGATCACGCCCATAACTAGAGATTTCTTAAGTGTTGGGACAAGTGGTTCGATGTAAGTTGATATTTCGAAACAGAAATAAATTGATGTCTGGATAAATCAGAAACAATTGAAAAATTTCTATTGCAGACTGACAGTAGCACGGTTTGAAAGCTTGAGGTTGATTATTATTGTTGTTGCCGGTTTATTAAAAATTGTACTCATGCCAATATATCTGCAATCTTATTTAAATCTCGCTATTCAGAAATTAGAGATTCAGAAGAAAGAAGCTGGCAGGATAACTAACGTTGATTTACAAAAAAAGGTTTGTACTGTGATAGTGTATACATATGTGAAAAGTTATATATTTAATTATATTTTTACTAAAAGTTCTATTTTCTACTTTAAATGAAAGAAATTTTGTTTGTTACAGATTGCAGCTGTGTATTATTACCTATGTGTAGTGGCGCTACAATTTGTTGTTCCCATCATTATATGTTTATTTTTTACATTTTTGTACAAAACACTAGGTATGGAACAATATTCGGAAATATGTAGTTTTGCCTACGCTGTTAATGTATATACATATCGTATTTGTTTTTTGTTGAATCAGGTGGTTTTACCTGGGAAGGCATCTTGAAGGGAACTTTGGAGGAAGAGTGCCCAGCGGACGAATTACCGAGGTCACTGTCATCTACTGTTAGCACTGATAATATCGACAAGACTGTTATACAAACTGAAGAAGTTCAACTTGCGTTAGGTTCATTAAAACAGGTAACGTCTTAATATATTCATGAAACAACATGTTTTCCTATGTAATTAAATTTTAATCGAAACACATAAGCCAACAAAACAAAACAAAAATATTTTATCTGTTACAGATATTTACTACAGATGTGTACAGAGGCGTTTTAGGCCTGGCGACATGGTGGAGTTGCTTCGCGTTATTTGCAACCAGTGCCATGGGCATGGCTTATCAGTCGTACTTCTCGAACATGTGAAATGGTCTATTTGGAAAAAAAAATCCAAACGTCACATCGCACAAGTCTTCATCAATTCATAAGATCAGCCATTCATTATAATAGCATTGTCCATTGAAATGCGTATTTTCAGATTACCTATTTTAATGCCTATCGCCAAATAATTAGGATAACAGTTATCCGTAAGATTTTATAATGCGCGTATGGCAATAAATAATGTCACAATTGTAAATAGACACTTTGGGACTTAAATCAAAACGAAGATCGTGTTAAAAACATTATTGTGGTATAATATACGTATTTTAACATGCTATTCATATGATGTACAAATAAAACAATTAAATTAGTATTCTTTGCATTGTTAAAAGAGCCTTATATCCATAGTACAAGTATCCGTAGTTCGTTGCAATAGAAACAAAACCGCTATCGACTAGACACTTGAAATTCCATCGATCACCTCATCGCAATTAATACTCACCGTACGGTCACGCTATTGTCGCATTAAGCATTTCGAAAGTGACTTTCTCCGTTATCAGCGATCTTGATCTCGGAAGAGTTTTGCTTACGGTTGCAATTCTAAAAATTCCCGTCTTCCTTTACTATTGAAAATGGACGACGACTCTCGGTTACGCAAACTTTGTCGGCCTTCGTTTCTGTCACATTTTGGGGAAACTATTACGCCGTTGTACGATTGTGATTCATAGATTGTTCGACATTTTATATCCCGGAGAAAGTGTCTCGCTGAAACGACGGTCGATCGGATGCGACTCACGTTTCGCGCCAGCCGTTTCCGTGGTATATATCCCCCACGGGATTTCATTGCGCCGTAATACCGTCGTGATTTTCGCCAGCGATAATACCGTGCCTCTTGATTATACGTTGCAAGATAAACCGGACGATTTTTTACGATGTTGGTGAGTGAATGACAGACAGACACTTATACTTTTCACGTGTCTTATTATTCAAACAAAACAAAATACTATTTTTTTTTAAATCAAAGTTTGAGAATGTACTATACTGAGAATAAAAGAAATTCGCGTTAACACGTATGTAAAATAAAAAGTGTGCGGAAAAGCTTACATTCCGAGATAGAATCTCAACGTATCGATAATGAATTTCCAAGAATTTAAAATAATCATCGCAGATTTCAAGTGAGTTTCCGTATCAGGCGTTTTAAACCTTTTAGAAACGTCTTGGAATATCGGTTCTGCACGGTAACTTTCAGATTTGTTAACATATTTGTTCGATTAATTTGACACCTTCTTAAACGGTACCGTCTTTTACTGATTAGAATAAAAAATGAGGATAAAACGTAACATTACTATAACGGAACGTAATGTGCGATTATTTTTGTTAATGATAATAATTTTTATATAAATTATGGTTATTAAATAATAATAATAATTTAATTATTATTATAACTATCGGTGTATCTTCGACAAGTGTGTTCTTTTTTTAAGGATATAAGTTAGATGTCAGCCTTCAGTATTTTGTGATTACTAATTGCATTACGCTAATCAAATATCGCGTTTTACCTCGATTGATCTCGGAAATTGCGACTTGCAGAGGCACGCGGTTGTCCTAGGTATAATGTGTTGTCTCGTCACGGCCGAGTCGCCGGTCCAAGTCGGTGTGAAACCGACGAACGTGATAGGCAGCCCGGAGCAGCACGCCTCCTTCAGCTTCGTCCGACCGGGACTAACGCAAACGTCGTTCGCGTTCGCCGGGCCGAGCTCCCATCAATCGTTCGCCGCCAGCATCGGCAATCCTCAGCTAGCGCAAAAGGTCCAGCCGAGTATCGCTCACGCTCTCGCCCAGCGGAATCCTGGCCTAGGTTCGTGCAAGCAGTGTTCAAAACTCTTTCTCGTTTCATCGCATCACTTCGTAATTCGCGCCCCCACTCACAGCGTTCTCCCTTAATGAAAGACAAGTCGAGAAGATGGATATTTTTCCTGCTTTTTCCTTTGTTAAGCAACAAAGGAAGAACTATTATTTATTTATGAGGGTCACGTTTATGTGATCCCCGAGTCTCTTCTATATTTTCTCTTGAATTGCGAGATGCGTTCATCACGAATGTATAATACATATAACATCCTTTTAAAGAAGAACAATCAGATGAACGTACCTACTTCTTTATCATAAGCATTGGTAAAAAATGGTTCGGGATTCTTCTGTATAATTAAATGGGTACTAATTATGAAACAGCCTGTTTTACAAGCGGCGTGAAACGCGTGTGTTAATTATGCAATTTTCGTGTACCGCTACTCGAATTGCATTCGCGCGACGACGAACTTAATTTTAAGACTCGCTCATCTCCTGATTCCACAGTCCTGATTCACTTCCCAGTGGGAAATGATTATTGTCACGCCTGATGTCGAATCGACATCGACACTGTCAAATTCGACGTCAATTCGACATCAATTTAACCGAGGGGGAAACAGCTGACCAAAATCTTGTACTAATGCCCAGTGGGCATTACTTTATCTTATTATCTTATTTTATCTTTATAATGCCCCAGCAAGGCGTAATGCCTAGTAATGCCCAGTAATGCCGCAAATCTGTACACCACAATGCCCTCAGTTTCCCCCTCGAGTTTAACGGTGTCGATGTCAATTTAACATCGTTTCGACATCGATTGACGAGTCCTTTCTCGCTGGGTTATTCACTTTTAATGTTAATGTTAAGAACTTATGATAAGACGTGACGAGATAAGAGTCTCGCGACTGATATCTCTCGATCGTTACGCAGGGTATTACGCACTCGGTCCCGCTGCGAGCGGGGTCACTGGGGTCCTTCCGAATTTTGCGCCCGGTCCGTTGACGTATCAGGCCCAGACCGTGGATCCCGCGATCGCGCTGACGTACGGGCAACAATTGCAGCAGCCGCAGCAGGCGTACCTGCAAGCGTATCAGCCGGGCGCCGCAATTTATCAATCGCAATTGGGGCAGCTGCTCGGCCTTCGCCTGGCACAATTGGCCCAGGCTCAGCAAGGGCAGCTGCACGCGATTCCGTCGGAACAGGTATTCCATTCTTTATACGTGTCATCCAGTAGGAGACAATTCTCGTGTGGTCGCGCGACTATTAATGCGATTTTTGTTAATAGTAACTGTGCGCAGGTGCCCGAGGAGCAAACTCACTTGCAGCGGCAATTCGTCAATCAACAGCAAGCGGAACGACAATCGCAGAATTTGCTGGGCGTCGCTTATTCGTCCGCCCCGTCGGTCGCGCGCGTAAAAGTCTCCGGCAATGGATACAAGTTCGATTTCTGAGCCTGAGTGTTACCGCGCTTGCTACAAGAGTAATTTTTTGTCGGACGATTTATAATTAAAATGTAATTAATGCAGAATACGTGCTCATATTTATTTGTTACATAACGATATCGCGAATAAGTTGTCTGTATGTATACTCGAATATTTCATATATTAATTAAACGTGATACAATAATCAGTGATAATATCACAGCTATTTTTGTAAAAAGAAAACTAATCGACTAGTGTAAAATTCAAAGATATCTTATTCAACAAGCTCCTTCTGTAAACTCTTAATAAAATGGTACGGCATTCTTCAAGACGCACATTATTCGGATAATTGCTTGCACAAACGTATGAGCGTGTCGTTAGCTCGGAACAAAAAAAAATTAATTCCACAAGGCCCCGGGGGGATTCGAACCCCCGATCTCCTGTTTACTAGACAGGCGCTTTAACCAACTAAGCCACGGCGCCTACGGGTTGTCCCTCGACGTATTAATACCATAAGGACTTTACCATTCAAACCTTATAATTGCGTTAATATTCTTGTCTTATATTAAGCCAATGGCACAGGACACTGTTTTTCCTACTGGATTGCTTACGAGAGCCAAATCAGAATTTGGTCTTAAGTCATGTCATCTAAAACTCTATTTTTCGCAAGCGATCCAGCAGGAAAAATAGTATCGCTTGCCGTTGGCTTTACATTATTAATAATATGGCTCGAACCAGAAATTATCTAATATTAACTGTATAATTTTTATTATTAAATGTATAAGCACAAAGACGATGAGAAATGTTAAAAAGAAGATATAAAGAGGATTGTAAATAAATGTTAGATTAACCATTTCACACCAGAATGAACGCGCATTACCTGAATTTGAAGCTTAGAAATAACCATAGACATAGTAATACTAGACCGAGCGTGTTCTCTTTTAAGCAATGAAGGTTAGATAGAAAAAGGATAGAAAGTAGGTGCCGCGTCAACCTTTCTCTCTCTAACGAGAAGAATAAAGACCTACTTTCTATCCTTCTCTACCAATGCCTCAGGCGTCTCATGCTCGGTCTCGTATTACTATGTCTATGGAAATAACATTGTTTATTTTCTTATTTTCTTCTTTGTTAGTATTTAGTATTTACACTTAAAATATCACTCTTGCGCTGGATATGGGAGAGCAAACACATCCTCTGACGCTAGGTATAGAACGTAGACACGAAAAAAATTCAATTTTGCAACACATATCGATGCCGATCTAATTGTTTAAATTGCAAGACTTATAATAATTATATATTTAAACGCACGTTACAAAAGATGGGAGAAAAAAAAATTCTCCCCGACGGGGAATCGAACCCCGGTCTCCCGCGTGACAGGCGGGGATACTAACCACTATACTATCGAGGAATTTTTAACCTCGTTCTCAAAATATATAGAACTTGTACAAGATCTCATTAAAGTTTCACGTGATAACAGCAAGTATATATTTCAGTTCTACATAATTGCACGAAACGTTTAAAGCATCTCTTCTTAACTCGATTCAATTACATTATCGCGAATCATCGCAATAATTACGGACGTTACTGCAATCGAATCACTTTCACAAACAGCATACAAATCAACATCTCAGAAACGTCCCATTACACCATTGCAATATTGCATCAATGTTACGAAATGTAGATTCAACGTTGAAAAGGTATTGCAAAAACGTCTAATGTCCGCTGAATTGTAATGTCTTGTAAACGTTACAATTAAGCACTCGGAAAACATTGTTAAATTATACTGAGTTAACATTGGTCGCGTTTAGAAGAATATTTTTTACAACTGCTGGAAGTGCTGGAAGTGAATTATTCCACTAAAATAATAATCCAATCTTAGCTCAGAAAATTTCTGACCGCTGCAAATATGTGATATGCATTTCATAATTATACATTTTTAAGCATCTATTTGAGTGTCAAAAAATAATAATTTGTTCAAGATTGTTTTAACGTTGCAGCAATATAAAGAATTAACGTACAAACGTTAACCTAGATTTAACGTAGAAAAGATATTTTTACTTCAACATTCACCATTGCAACGTTTCAGCAACATTATTTTAACTTTCTGTGCTGTATGGGTTTATTCTGCGCGCTCGCGCTAATAGTTACGAAACATAACGCAAAAAAAAAGTTAAAACGACAATTCCGCTCGGCTTCCGCGCTACAGAAAAGAGAATACATCAAGAGCAAGTATCCGTAGCAAAAATTAACACCACATCATTCACGCAGTCGGTAGGACTCGAACCTACGCTCCCAGAGGGAATCTGATTTCTAGTCAGACGCCTTAACCACTCGGCCACGACTGCTACGTGAATTCTCCCGCCTGGAATTCCGACACCTTTGCACAATATTCCGACGTACGTGCTAAATATATTATTAATAATAATAATTATCGTACGTATAGGAGTGCATATAATATTTCGATACGATAACTGACTCGACACGTCAGTCGTGTTTTCAGATGAAAAGTATTTTTCGCGTCGTCCAATCCGATATTTGTGACACGGGGCGCATAAAGGATGCGCTTTGTGTCATCGAACGGCGGTCATTGCAACAACAGGCAACAAAAATGGCGGTCGCGCGAACGCGCCTGGGAGGCGGCGAAGCAAAAAAAAAAGTTAAAAAACGGTTGACCCCGACGTGATTTGAACACGCAACCTTCTGATCTGGAGTCAGACGCGCTACCGTTGCGCCACGGAGTCTTAGCGATTACTCGCTTCTGAGTAAGAAATACATTCGTATCGCAATAGATCAGCACGGATAATCTCGTTTTTTACGCGCCACAAACTCTGCGTCGAACGATAATAAACGTGGTTCTTGCAAATTCCGGGCGAACCAAAGTTTTTAAGTCAACTTGAGTAAAAAGTGGGCGATCAGACATTTTCGCTCGCGCTCGAGATCTGACACGTTCCTCCGGGAATAGCGATTTCTTTATTGTCCTATTTAAATTATTTACAAATAAATTGATCTTTGACAAACACGCATAAGATTTATATTGGCGGGAAAATAAAGACAAATAATAATCTTTATGCGCGTAACATCTCCCGAGCTTCTCCGTATACGTGGCAAGCAGGTACCTCACAGGCTTAGATCGTCAGCATTCGTTTCGCTGTCCGATCCACGAATTCGAGACTGCGCCCCGCGGCATCGCGTGATCCGCACCGCGCGAAACGCCGTCGCGGTGCCGGAGATTTCGACTTGGAGTAAACGGACCGCGGACGATCGATACGGACGACGTGCGCTACCGCGTATGTGCCGCGCTAAACCAATTCTAAGTACTCGAGAAACGCTCGCGCGTGTCGCGCACGGAGCAGCGGGGCGAGGCGGAGACACGAGGAATCGGCGCGCGCGGCGCGCGGCGCGGCCGATCGCCGATCGTCGTCATCCCAGCTCGCCCGGCCCGGCCCGGCCCGGTGACGAGCACGTGGTGCGTGCTCACATCCCGCATGCGAGCACCGCGTTATCCGGGCGGCACGCCGCGGCAGGAGCTCGCACGGCGCCGGCTCGCTCTCCCTACGTTGAACAGAGTTTCGCGCGGGTTGTCTCACCGAGCCCCTCCTGCTGCCAGGGTAGCACGTGGCGTGAAGAGCCTACCCTCCCGGCTACGCTTTCTCTCTCCCCCCCTCTCTCTCT